AGCAGCAGGCAGCGTGCTATGAAGACTAAAGCAACCCTGGGAGTCACACAACATTGGCCCCACACTGGTAAGATGCAAGGAATCTCACACACTTTGCCCATCTCTGATTCGATGCTGTGAAGCACTGAGTTGTGAGTGTGTAAACCAGTGATGGCGAGCCTTAAGCTGGGTGTATCAGCATTTTGAAAAACTCTTAACTCTGGTGCCGTGCCACATATATAAATTTTTTGATATTTGCAACCATAGTAAAACATAGACTTATATTTTTGATATTTATTTTATATATTTAAATGCCATTTAACAAAGAAAAATCAACCAAAAAAATGAGTTCGCCATGCACCCCTGACATGTGTGTCATAGGTTCGCCGTCACTGTCCTAGTTCATAGGTCGACGCTCAACCACTGAACCATGGTGGCCGGGCTCCATGAAATCTTATTCTTGTAGGAGCGACAGGCCAGAAGGTAGAGTCTCTCTGTGGTTAGCCTTGTCCTTTGGAGAAACAAGCCAAGGCCTGGACGCTGTAATCACAGGATCATAGAATCCCCTGGTTACTCTCCGCCACACACACACACACACACACACACCATATAGATAGATACAGATATTGATCAATGGATACAGAGACATACACATACAGACGCCCACAGACACATACACACACACACACACACACGTACACAGACACACACACGCACACACATAGACACCCACAGACACACAGAGAGACACACACATACACACACACGCGCACACACACAGACACACACGCACACACATAGACACCCACAGAGACATACACACATACACACACACACAGGCACATAGACACACACGCACACAGACACAGACACACACGCACACGCACATACACAGACACACACGCACACACAGACACACACACATACATATAGATGCCCACAGAGACACACACACACACACACACACACACTTTCTTACAATTCCAGCTGCTCCCCAACATTCCATTTCTGCCCCTGTCAGGTTCAGCCACCTCCTTCCTTACCCATCAGCCCCCTGGAGGGCTACGTAGTCCTATGACCTGATGTACATCCATGTCGACATGATCAGGCTGGGAAGATACTGCCAATGGGTAAACAATATTGTCCACGGAGAACGATAAGGAAAACATTGCTCAGCTCTGGGTCCCAGGAAAAGACATGGCCCCTGAGTGAGTGACAAGGGATGTCACCCTGAGTTAGACGGGGCTCCAGGCAGGTCAGGGGTGACAGCCCCAGGCAGGAAGGGCGCCCTGAGGGTTTGAGGCTCACTTCCTCATGGCCCTGGGGCACCGTGTAAGTGTTACTGTTGCTGTGGTAAGTCGCACAGTAATACTCAGCCTCGTCCTCAGGCTGCAGCCCCGAGATGAGCAGGAGCCCCGCATTGGCCGAGGCGTCTTTGGTTCCAGAGAAGTAGCTGGGGACCCCGGAGCCCTGGCCCTTATCTGAGTCTGATTTATATCTCAGGAGAAACCGGGGAGGGCTCCCTGGCTTCTGCTGGTACCAGGAGATATGGTAGCCCGCAACGACAGCGCCACTGCTCAGGGTGCAGGGGAGTCTGGCTGATGCTCCCGGAGATGCAGAGAGGGAGGGCGGCTGAGTCAGCACTGGCTGGGACAGGGACCCTGCAGACACAGACATTCGTGGGTGATAAGGCGAGAAACGGGGACATTTCCCAGGCTTCTGAGCGAGGCGGGAGTGCAGCAGGGATGCCCCTGGTCCCCTGGCCTGTGCCTACCTGTGCAGTGAGCGAGGAGCAGGAGGAGAGGAGTCCAGGCCATGGTGCCAGCAGCCCGGCTGTGACCTGAGCTGCAGCCCCTGGTCCAGGCCTCTCTTATCTTCACGGGCCTCCCAGGGGCGGG